CGGTAGATGCAACCGCGCGGAGGTACGGCCCCGTCCTCGAGGATGATCTCGTGGCGGATGGGTCGATCCGGTACTACTCCATGCGGGCCTTCGAACACGTCGCTGTAGGTGTCGAGAAGTTCGGTGATGCGTGGATCCGAAGGTGAGTCCGTCGATGAAGCGTCATGTGGCGGGAGGGCGTGGAGAAAACACACCCCCATCTCCTCGATGTCGTCTCTGATGATGGAAGCTCGCATGCTTGCGGCGGATACCACATGGCAGTTGATCGAAGGATGAGGAAAAGGCACCGTGCATGAAACTAACACTCCGTTCCGGTCACGAACGTGAACGGTACAGTTGAAGAAGTTCACAAGGTGATCCTTGCTTCGCAGCCATGACATGCCCAAGATCATGTCGAATTTGGTGTCCAGAATGTCGAAGGACACCGCCTCACTTGCGTGGGGGGCAAAGTACACTGGGACGGCGTCAATGCATCGGTCGATGGACTTGTGCGTATGACCGTCTGCGAGAGTGACTTGCGTAGGCTGGGACTTCCTCCGGACACGTGGGCCAAGGCCGGCGCGTACCATGAAGTCCTGGCTGATGTAGTTGCGAGATGCTCCGCAATCGATCAAGGCACTGTAGGTCGCCTCTCCGATCTGAATGCGTATGTATAGCAATGGTGCGTCGATGTCGTCGTACCGTTGCGTCTTGAACTCGCGGTCGATCTTCGCGATGAAAGCGTCAAGGTCGACAACCTCTGCTCCGGCGCCCATCAACGGAGCTGGTACTGCAGTGTGCAAGTAGTCCCGCAATTGTGCCATAAGCACGTTGTAATGCGGTTTCGGCAATCGTCCGGTCGAGGGAACGGGCATCCACTGGAAGTCCGTGAACGTCAACGGATCGAGCTCATCAAGTCTTGACCATGACGTCGAATCCCCGGCGATAGGTTGCGGCGAAGCTGCCGAATCGGTTGCCGATGGTGATGAAACTGTGCATGCGGTGGACTGATGCACGTTGAGCGGTTGGTCCAGCGGTGGAACCAAGTGGACAGCATAATCCTCGTAAGTATACCGAGGACTTGCGACATTCGCATCCTCCCCAGATGTGCAGGAGGCCGCTAGCAAGGCGGCCGAATCTGGCGGAGTAGAAGGTGGAGTCGCCTCACCTTCCGCGGAGCTCAGTTTCCCGAGCTGAGGCGGGGTCGCACATCCTCCTTGCCCTGATCTTGGGACAGGGAGGTCTTGTGCTTGGTGCTGTTGCACCAATAGCAGCTGCCGTAGCGGCCGCGGATCTTGTACTCCGCCTCGGTCAAGCCAAACTTGACCCATGGAAACTGTCCTGGCTGTCCATTTCCGGCCTGCGATGCGGATTTCGCCTTCCCATTGTTGCGGGACTTGTTGGTGCTTCACGGCTGGACAGCGGCCACCTGATCTCCGTCACTTGATRCTGGAGTGGCTGCTGGGTTATTTCCACTGTCCTGCTGGACTGCAGCGAAGTGCTGCTGTCGCGGACCAGTTCGTACCTTCTCCACATAGGTCGGCTGCCATGATGTTGATTTCTCGTGTGCAGCTGACCTGTTGGTCTTGATGATCTCCCTCGCTTTGTCAATGATCTCCGCGAAGGTTGAGTACTGCTCRCGATCACCAAGAGCCTGGCTCAATGCCGCACAGGACATGTTGTAGAACTCACGGCGTAGATGCTCGAATGGTAGGTTCAGATTGGTCACAGCCGCAATCCTCTGCCACTCCGTGAGCCAGTCCCGTGTTGCTGTGTTGCCCCGTGACATGGTGAACAAACGGTTGATGGCGAGTGTCGGCGCGTCGTCGACGATGAACCGCTTCTTCCACAGCCGTGTTAGTTCCTCCCATGTGATTACGTCCTTCAAGTCTGGTATGTCGACGCCATGGGAGGTTGCCAAGTGGCTCAACCAGGTCTGGCATCCGCCCTTTGAGTTCAGGAACAGGGCGCCGATGTACGCGTGCTTGGCTACTGGCAGAATCCTGAGTTGCGTTGTGAATGCTTCCCACCAGAGGACGGGATCCTGCTGCGTGTAGTYGTCGAACCTCTCCAGGTTGAAAGTTGGCATCTTGTACATCTTCGGATTGTCGTCCGCGTTTGTCGACTGCAGCTTCTGGACCTCGGTCTTCAATGTATGCAACTGATTGCTGATGGTGGTGGTCGGCGCAGCGAAG